CAAACAGCCAGTAATCACACCAGCAGCACCAGTGTAAGATGTCCATTCCTGTGAGCCACAGCAGCAAATCCTCTGCTCACCTTCTGGCTTTGCTTCCTTCATCTCCTGCTGTTGTCACCTCAGTCTATTCTCATTTCTACATTCATACCACCTAAATACTTCCCTTTGTACAGCTGAACTGTTAGTGTACTCATTGCTTAATCTTCTGATGTTTTGGTGGAAGTAGCTCTTACCTACATAAATATTTTCTTATTCTTGAAGAGTTAAGGAGGAAGAAGCATATTTGCAAGCCTTCAGAGCAGCACAGTTCTTGTATGCTGAACTCCTCCTGGGTTTGGCTGAAGAGAAACTGTAGAAACCTTTTTTGGGGAAGAGACAAGAATTAAGTTTCTATCCCAGGGAGGCTGTGGCTGCCCCAACCCTGGTGGTGTTCAGGGCCAGGCTGGATGAGCCTTGAGCAACCTGATCTAGTGAGGAGCTGTCCCTGCCCAGGGCAGGGGGTTGGGGCTGGATGATCTCTAAGATCCATTCCAACCTCTAAATTCTATGATTTTAGGTCAATACCATCTCTACTATTTCTCCTCTTGTTCTGGAGGAGTAATTCCTTCCCTCTAGTTTGTACTTTTGCCAAGAGGTGTCAAAACTGCTTCAAAAAAAAAAAGCTTAAAAAAAGCTTGAATTTGATTAATATAGAGAAACAAGACTTTGCCTGACTGATAATAAAACTGATAAATGACATTTGAATTACTTGTAGCAGTAATTTATTACATAAAATATCTTTTATTTGACATGCGATTAGTTGCTGGAAGCATCACTCAATCTGACTAGTTTAAACATGCTCTAAAATGAACCCCCAGTAAAAAACCAGGGCTGTCTGCTCTTGGTGTTATGAAATACACTGATCCGGCAGTGAGGACAAAAATCTGACTTTAAATATTTAAATGATTAATTGGGGTTTTAGTTTTTTTGCCTTTCTAACCCATATAATTACAAGCAAACTCAGGGGAGTTTCTGAGCAAGGTGTTGCAAAGCTGCTTGTTTATCATCCAGGAGTTGTCTGTGATGTTTCCATGGTGTGGTTGGGCTCCATTTATGGGGTTTGTGCAGGTTTTACACCTGATTAAAAATCAGCTGCAGTGACTTTTCTTGTCATTTGCATCTTCCCCCCCCCCACCCCTTGTCTTCATTATGTGGGAGGCTGGAGAATACAGTTTTCTCTTAGAATTAAAAATGGTAACTAGAATCCCCCAAGACCTTTCCATGGAGTCACTGTTTGCTCTGGGAAAATCACCTCTTCCAGCCTCAGTTTCTGCTGTGTTAAATGTGGATGCTGGTGATGCTGACCTTAACTTGGATGCACAAGGCCTAATTAATTGGTGTCAGGAAAGTTAATTCTGAAATGAATGGGGATCTTAAAAACAGTAAGTGTTTACTCTGGAAGTGCAATTTACAGTTGCTGCTGTGGAAATTAAATCTACTTATAGAAAACACAGATATAGGGCTGGAGAAAATGTCCCTTCCATTTGCCTTTTGAGGGTCTCATGTAGCATGGAGTGTTAGTTCCCCAGTGCCTAAGCTGCAGAGTAACTGTGCTGTCAGTGCTTTTTCACTTTCCCTGCGTGTTACTTGTTTTACCAATGGAAAAAATGAGGATATGCAAAGCAGTTGGTGTGAGCACAGAGGTTACAACTGAGAAACTCCTAAGCCTCTCTTCACCCCCCATCTTAGATCAGAGTATTGCAGAGAGAAAGGAAGGTTGAGTGTGGATTTTAGGTAGAGCTGTGACATTCTTCATAACATTGTGAAGTTGCTGTGGTCAGTGCAGAGCCTTTACTGCATCTCTCACTCACTCACTTCTTCTCTCCACCCCCCTCACTTTTTTTTTGTGCCACAAGACAGAATTATTTCACACATCTCTAAAATGAGTAAAATGGCATTTCAGCTTCTTGTCTTTATAGACTCTCTGAACTTTAGGAAAGATCATTCTGGTCCCTTTTCATTAATAATGAAAACCAGGGGGCAATAAAATGTTCTTAGCTCAAGCATTACAGGAATGGAGGGAGAGATGAGTGAGGTGAGAGGGCAAAGCAGACAGGGTCCTACAGGTGTGTCTTCTTTCTGCTCAGAGGTCACCACTGCTGGGAGGTGGGTAGGGACAGCCAGTCAAGGACAGCTGTGGACAGGGCACAGCTGGACCCATAGACCTTCTGAGATTAATTAACTCTTTACAACAGGCAGTTCAGTCTGGAATGAGTTGTCATAGAAGGATATTTTTAGTCAGAAGTTCAGGAGAGAGAGAACTGGACAACCAAGAGACTTCAGATACCAGAAATGGCAGTGGGAGCAGAGTAAGGAGGGGAAAGTGGGATAGATAACTGGGGTTTGCAGCAAGATTAGCCAGAGATCATTTTAAATCCTGACATGTACACAGCCAGTTACTGCAGCTTAGCTGATGTGTGTTAACTCATTAAGTTAAAAAGTTATGATAATGTGATCATGTGCCTAAGCTCCAAAACTGCAACTGCAGCAACCCAAAATACTCCTGGTGACACTATTCACCAGTTCTGACAGAGATGCTCTAATTTGTTTAGATTTCTAGCCAGCAGATAGCTTCAGGAGCTGTGTCCTAAAGCATAGCAAGAAGCTCTGAGTGTCAGTGTGTGGGAGCCAGTGCCTGTCTGTAGACCCTAGGGGCTGGGATTGGCAGGAACTCTTGCCATGAAATGCCTGTAGAAGAGCTCAGCAACAAGCAGTAGGTGAGCAAAGCAGAAAGGAGACCTGTGTCACCCATTTCAGCCAGTTCAGCCTCCCTCTGAGAGCCCAAGTGGAAACTTTGGAGAGCAGAATGCATTTCCGAGACACTGCAGTCCTGTGCAGATTTGGATCTGTCTGTCTGGAGACTACACAGGCCTCCATCTCATCAGTTCTGCCCACATCCTGCCACTGAACTTTAGGCAAGATCATTCTGCATTTTCTTTATTATTAAAGCAAACCGGGGGCAGTGCAACCTTCGCTGAGGGAACTGCGAGGGAGGGGAAGGGATAAAGCTGGTGGAAAACTACAGGTATCTTCTGATTCTGCTTGAAGGAGCAGAGCAGAGCATATCTTTGCTTTGCTCTGTGAAGTCTCTAAGCTTCTGTGCAGAATTGTGTGTTATATATCTCAAGCTTTTATCTACTTCTTTACCTCTCTCTGTAGATACTTAATTGCATATTTTCTCTCTGCTCTTTATGTGTGCTTTGGTCCCTATTTGTAATTGAAGCTTGAAAGACACTGGATCCTTCCTTATTGAAATGGTCCATAATTGCTGACACAGTTTTCATAAACTCATTTATTGCCCTGATAGATTTCTCTTCTTTCTCAAAACACTCCCTTCTTTCCTTTTTCCTGCACTCCTCAGGGGCTCTGGCTCTGTCCCCACTTCCAAAAGGGAGGGTAGTGGAGAACAGGAGGTATTCAGGGAAGGAGTTAACCTTAGCTAGTACCAACCCCACAGGCAGCTATCTGGGTCCAGGCTGCCCTCTGCAAGGAAAGAGCAGGGCAAAACAACAAGAACATTTGAATTGCTGCTGTGATTTGTCTCCCTTGGACACTGCAGGGCCAGTGTCAATGCCACAGGTGTGGCCAGAGGTTTGTGTCCTCAGGCCTGAGGCCTGCACACTGTGTGTTAGTCACTGCTCTGATAAAATGGGTCTGTGAAAATCTTGTCACCAGCAGTTCTGACTATGTTTATTTTTTGATTTTGGCCTTTAGGTCCCCCTGGCTCCAGATGGAGAGATTATGGGGCTTTGGCTATCATAATGGCAGGAATTGCCTTTGGATTCCACCAGCTCTACAAGGTAGTATCTCCCTCACTACTCTTACACTGTGCTCTGAGAGAACCACGTTATGCTCCTTGTGTCCAAATGCTCTTGTTGGTTCTGAGCTGGTGAAGCATCTCTGCTCTCACTGGCACTGCCACTGGTGTGTTTGAGAAATGGAGACACTCAACATGAAAATGGAGTCAAAAAGAGTCAAGCAAACGAAACTAGTGTTTAGTTGTGAATCTCAAACTGCTAGAAACAAGATAATTTTATTGTGTATGGTCTTGCTGAAGTGCATATCCAGTTCCTGGGACCAGTGCTGCACAAGGATCCATGCTAGGTAGAGTTGTGACCTCTTAGATCCAGTCTGTCCTCTGCAAGAGCAGAATGAGGTACAGAGGTAGCAACTGGTTTTTAGCACCCCAAAAAATGTCACTACAAACCTCCTATCTTCTCTCCTGCAACTTCTTTTAGCACTTACTGTAGAGGGAATTTCTCTTCTCAGCCAGATGTGCGGATAAATGATCACTCTCTGATAAAGGCTGAGGTTTAGGGATGGGGTTTGAGGGTGTTTCTGGTAGATTGGAAAGACTTCTTGGCACATCCCCGTTTCCTAAAAAAGTTCCTGTACTCCATGCAGAAATACCTGGTTCCTCTCATCATGGGAGGCAAAGAAGACAGGAAACAACTTCAGAGGATTGAGTCGAACATCTCCGAGATGAGTGGCAGCGTGACACAGACAGGTAAAGATTAATGACTCCATCAATTCACCCCTCAGAGCCTTTCTCCCTGTATCCTCCATCCTGCCAAGACCCCCACCCTTTTCTTCCCCTCCATCTCCACTTTATGTGGTGACTTCATTTATCTGCTCTGAGAATCTGTTCACATTTGCAAATGAAGGCGCCGTCATTTCGGTTTAATTTGAAATTGCTTGTTTACTGTCGGCACGGCCTCAATTAATTATGTTTTTACGGAAAGGCTCCCAACCTCAGAATATTAATAAGGGGAATAAAATGACAGCCTTTCGCAGGGCTGGAAAGTTCATTTTTAATTTCTGCTTCTCTGATGTTTTCAGGGGCTTTTTTTTGGTGGTTTCCCCCCACCCCTCCAGCTGAAAATCCGAGGAAGGGTCAGGAGAGTCTGTAATTACTGTGCCTCCTTGACCTTAGCCACCTTCTCTGTTATTGACTCTGTAGGGTGTCTGTTCATTACCCAATGCCCTAATGATGCTCTGGATTAGCTGTTACCTGTCACACCAATAGAGGTTTTAATTTTATTTATTTTATCAGCTTGTTTACTGCTTGGAAGCTTTGGCTAAAGTACCAAAGCAGGAAAAGTTCTACAGCTGGAATTGGTGTCCAGCAGAACTTCTTCAGTGTTTGCTGAGGTGTAGGAGGGGAATACAGGGTGCTCTCTTGAAATAAAAGGAGGGAAAGCACAAAATGTATTCAGTTGGGTGCAAAAAAGTATGATTTTCAGCAGTAAGTTTGTCAAAGATATTGGGTTGAAGGAGCTGGTGGGTTGGGAGTGGGAGGATGCTAATTACACTTTTTATTGAAGGGTAAGAAGAAAAGCATCTTTCATTTCTCAGGATACCCTGAGGTCAATCCTGAGCAGCCTCTTCCCAGATTGGAGCTAGCCCCAGTGTTTGCCTGCAAGAGGCCAGAGATAGATAAATGATACAAACATTGTATAAGTTCAGGGAGATGTACAAATCATAAACCAATATAATTAGAAGGGAGAGGTTTTGGACGGATATACTGTGGGCTATAGACATCTATACAATGGAAAGATAAACTAGAAATACTGGAGGTTAGATGCAGTGCAGGTAGATTACCCATAGTGCAGATAAATCACATGGATTAAAGTGAGCAGGCGGGCAGAGATAAATTAAATATAGGAGGAATAGAGGCATCTCTGCAGCTAGACAGCAGGAAAGGCATGTGTGAGTGTGTATATGTGTGTATCTCAGCTCAACTCTCTGCTTTTTCCCTCCCAGTCACTCAGTTACAGACAACTTTAGCAGCTGTCCAGGAGCTGCTAATCCAGCAACAACAGAAAATCCAGGAGCTCACCCAGGAACTCGCTGCTTCTAAGGTATCCACTTCCAGCTCCACCTCTAGAGCATCAGCATCTTTGGAACAGCTTGGCTTCCCTTGTGGGCACGTGGAAAGCACCTCTTGTGTTCACAATCCAGCCATCAGCTCTTAATATCCCCAGCCAGTTTCTCTGCCTCTGACGTGGCCTCAGGTGGTCTGGTTAAAGCCCTGGCTGTGAGCTGGGTACTCACTGAGATACATCTCAGAGGGCTTTGCTCTGTGGCTTTGTATGCAGCACATGGTTCTGAGGCCTCAGGCCTGTCCTCAGCTCAGTGTCTTCTGCATTGCATCTGAGCTTAAACAACTGTGTTGTTACTCCGTTGACCAAAAGAGACAAAGACCAGTTGTGCAGAGGCATTGACCAAGAGACAAAGACCAGTTGTGCAGAGGGTTTTTGTGTGTAATATGTAATTTTGCATGTTTGTGTTTCTCCTGTAGCCTTTTACATTGTCCAACCAATGTCTCAGTCCCTTTCAGCCAAGCATACACTTGAATACACTGTATTTAAGTCACTTGCTCAGATCCAGGCCAGGTAATGGCCAAATTCTTACTACTTGGGTTCTTGTTTCAGTGATTTTGGTGAGCTCAGTGTACCATGTGGCCTCATCACAGCCCCATTAGTGACACACAGTGACCCATTCCCCTTGGCTCCTGACTTGACCCTGGCAATAAAACCATCACTTCTGACTAGTTTGTGTTGTTACATGTGTAAATACAAGTAACCACTTTTAACCAAAATTGATTTTCTTTCTGGCAATGAGAATTAGTGCTTTGCATCTCCAAAGTACTCTCTGCCCTTGGCCTAAGCATTCTATCAGTCAAAGTGTTGATGACATGTGAGGTGGATGGATTTGAACGAGTCACATGAAGTCTTCCTTTCACTCACCAGCTTGGGGTTGTTCAGGGCCCAGTGTTCTCTGTACAGGGAGAGATTTGCCTGTGAAATCCCTTAGGCAATGCTTACAGCCTTTTACCTATAGGAACACTTGTCTTCTCCCTTTACCTCTAGATTAATCTCTTACATCCCCTTTGATGGTGTGTAACTGGTGGGCCACAGCTGACTCTGTGGTGTGCACACTCTACAGTAGGAATCCTTCAGTGGCACAGCTGTAAACCTAACCATGAAAGCCAGTTTATGGTCACAACACTCTGCTTCAATTTTCCTTGGGAACTGTGGCCTGACAGTGGCCTGGAGCCAGTCCGGAAATTGGAAAACTGTTTTCAGGTCTTAAGTGTTAAGATTAAGAACACATGTTGAGCTTTAAGAAGGAAAAAGGGCATAAGAGTCTTGGTGGTTTAGAGAGTCTTGAAGAAGTTTTTCCTCCCCCCTCTCTACCCCCTGCACTGAAATGGTAGCACACATTGTTATGATATCTAAACCTCATGTGTACAAAGAAAAACTTGGGCAACCCCACAAACCAAAGAAGAAAAGCTGTGTTTTCTCAGCTGTAATGTAAGTTTTTATATCTGCTTTTCAAACTCCTACTGGCATGCTGTAAAAAATTAAAAAGAGGGACTTTAAGTAATTAAAAAACGTGCATAAAAATTCAAGGCTTGACTTTTCTACAACTGTTTTTAAAGAGACTGGCTAAAAAGCCCCAGATGTCAGATTTTATTTCCAAATCCTAGGCATCTGGCACCATATGTGTTTTGGAAATTTGAGTCCTTTGCAGGCCAGTGAGTGGAAATCACTCCCTTGTTAATGTGCTGCTGTTGCTTTCAAGGTCTTGGAAAGCCAGAACAGTGGCTCCTGGATTCTTGCTGTCTGAGGGCTGTGAGTGTGAATCCCCAGGGAACTCATCTGTGTATATCACAGCTACTACAGCCTGAGCCTCTCCCAGCTCCTTGGGTTCAGAGCCCAGAAGTGGCTGTGAGCAGTGCTGGCTGCGAAGGTGTTCAGGGTTACTCAGCACTAGCTGAAGTCTCTTCAAAGAATGAGTAGAAACAATCAGTTCTGGCTATGTCTAGTAGGAACTGCTGAGGAGGAGTTTTGTCTTATTCCAGCCCTGGCTTTCTTTGATGGGGATTTATTAGAAGTATCTCTGAAGCAAATGCTCACAACTGGGTTCATTCCTAATGGCTTTGAGCTGGAATTCCTATGGGCAGTGCTAGGCATGAGTGTTCTTTGGTCCCATAGCTACAGGAGTCGCTAGAGCGATAGGATGGGGTAACCACAGGCCTTGATGTGTCTTCCAGAACATCCCTCACCTTCCCAAAAGGGTTAAAAGAAAGATTGCCAACAGTATTGTCTGCAGCATGTTCTCCTCATTGTTACCTTCCTGCAATTTCTGCCCACCCAACTGCCTTGCAATATCCAAGGGACAGTGCCTAGTCCAGCTGCTTTTGGAGATAGGCTCTGGTAACTCTAATTCCTCAGACCCAGTAGGGAAAATTTGTGCAGCTTTGAAGCATTGATTTATCAGCTCACCTCTAAACACCACAGACAGAGTGCACATAATCAATTCTTTCTTTCATGATTTAGGAGAAATGAACAAATGGGTTTAAAATAGTTGTTAATGTATAATATTTGAATGTGTTGCCTCAGCTAAGTGCAGTCACAGGAAGGAGTAAAGGACCTGATTCAGTTTTCAGGATCCTAGTTCTAGTTCTGCTCTGGAAATCATTCATGAGTGTCTAATGATTTAGTTTATCTCTGATATGCTGGTGGGAAGCATCCTATGTGGACCCAGTTTTGTCTGAATTCTCACAAGTGTTGGCCTCCTGGAGAAAGAAGTGTCCCCTCGGATGCTTCAGCAGTGATTGTGTGTGGGATGTTGGAGACAAGATCCCACACACATCTGTTTTAGTCCCCCAAACAGGAAGCAAATACTTGAACAGTTTTGGCACCTTGAGACAATTAATATTTCTGATCATCATGGGGATCTGTTCAGGTCCTTCTTTACTGTGGAATTTGTCTTTCTCAGATCTGAGAATGATTTTAAATGATAGAGCCTATATATGTTATCCACAGGACTCAAGATTCCCAGGTGGGAGGATAGCATAGGAAAAAATGACATTGCTGAATTATCTCCAGTTCAGACTCTGATCTTTGTGTCTTGTTCATCATGTTCTAGGCCACAACTTCCACCAACTGGATTCTGGAGTCACAGAATATTAATGAATTGAAATCTGAGATCTACTCTTTAAAAGGACTTCTCCTGAACAGGTATGTGAGCAGAGTGTGGAGTGGGGAGCAGGCTGGGATTCCTCACTCATGGAGAGGAAAGGCATTTCCTCTCTACATCCTGTTACTGCTATTTCAATAATACCACTTTGCACTCCACTATCACTTTCTGTTTGCAGGTCTCAAAATGCTTTTCAAACTTGCCTTAAATCACAGAGTGCTGTGGGTAATTCGTAATGTTTTCCCATTTTGTTCATGATAGAGGAATTCTCAGCCATTCCCCAGTCAGGATCTCTGAGGTGTTGACTGCATCTGCACCTGCATTTTGTTATAGAGTCACTTCTGGATGCAGTTCCTTTGCCCTGTGCCTGGTCAGAGCATAACCAGGATGAACAGAATCACATGTCAGCAGAGCCTGTTCCTCTCAGGTAGCTCAGGTACAGACATCTTACAATGTCTGAAATGTGGTGATAGAAATCCCAGCCCGTGGGACAGTCATAAGAACAGGGATCAGATCTCAGCTCTTGAGAAAATTCCTTTTTTTTTCCCAAGTATGTTAACAGGGAGTTTATCTAGCTTTTCAGCTATTGATCCCTTCACTCGGATATGACTCACTTGTCTCCTTCTCCATGTAACTGAGTCTTCTCAAGTCATCTGCTCCCTAAGAGATAGACTTCAAAGATACATACACAGGCAAGGATGCATGGGGAGGACTAGATCAGGTGTGACTTTTTGCTGTGCTCTTCTTGATGGATGACCCTCTGAGGCCACCAGTGCTCCCTTTGCACTTACATTAGTTCTGGGTGGTCCTTGCATTCTCCTGTTCTGGCTGGACATTATCCTGCTGCTCTCATATCCTTAAAGCCCACCTGGAAAGGACTCAGGACAGAGCAGCCAGCTTTCCCAGCTGGTGCAAGCCAGGATGACTCCACTCACGTCAGAGAAGCTGAACCAGTTTGTGGCAGGCAGGGCCTGGCCCAAACATGTAAAGTGCCTGCTGGGACTAGGAGAAAGGCTCTGGATTGCAATGAGCCAGAGTGCAAGAGCAGTGTATCACAGTGGAGGTGAGAGCCAGGTGGTGAAATTCCTTGGCTCAGGCGCAAGGACCTGGAGTGTCTGACTTCTTGCTCCAGTGGGAATTTTCTTTCCCAATTAATTAGTGATTGTTTTATAGAGGGACGCCCATGTCTTTTCACAGGCAGCATTCCTGAGTGCTAGCTTACTCTGTGAAATTGGCCAAATCAGATGGTTTCAGTGCTTCAGATTGCCCAGCTGGGATATTTCCCTTGTGTACAGGCTCGATTGCTGGGTGCTTGTAAAGCACTTTGAGAATCTGGCTGGAGAGTGAAGTGGCCTTGGTTTTGTTCATTTATGGCAAAGAGACTTGCAGTTTCAGTCCTGCTTTACATGACTTCCCCAGTGCAAATACCATTCCCTCTAATGATAACCCCTCAGTACTTACAATAAAAGCCCCTTTCTCTCCTTTTCTTCCCCTCCCCAAGGAGGCAGTTCCCTCCCTCCCCTTCTGCTCCTAAGATCCCATCGTGGCAGATCCCGGTGAAGCCAAGCTCACCCTCCAACCCTGTTGTTGCCAACCACAACAGCAGCAGTGACATCTCACCAGTCAGCAACGAGTCGACCACCTCATCCCCAGTGAAGGAGAACCACAGCCCCGAGGGGTCCAAGGTCAGCTGCCACCTGCTGAGCACGGACGAGGGCACCAAGGCCGTGATCGACGTCACGAGCCAAGTGCGGATGGAGGTGCAGGGCGAGGAGGAGAAAAGGGAAACCAAAAGGAATGAAGAGGAGGAAGAGGACGATGAGGATGATGATGTCAGCCATGTGGATGAGGAGGAATGTCTGGGTGTCCAGACTGAGGACCGGCGAGGAGGGGATGGTCAGATTAATGAGCAAGTGGAAAAGCTACGAAGACCTGAGGGGGCCAGCAACGAGAATGAGATTGACTAAGCCACCCTGGCTGCTGCTGCTGCTGCTGTACATCTTCCCTAGCCTCCTGCACTGTCCCCAGTGCCTCTCCCATTTTGTGGAGAGAAGTGCTACCATCCCCTCCAGTGATTCTCCCATGATTGACCTTGAGCAGGGTCACGATTGCCTGGTGAACAAGGTGGGCCCTGTTTCACCCAGGGCTTTGCAGTGTTGCAGTGGCTTCTTCTCCCCTCCCAGACCATCTCCCCATGAGCTGGGGTCACTGCCTAGGCTGGAAGACCGATCGCCTTACCATGCACCACAGCTAAGGAGTAAGCCCTCTTACAGAAACACCATCTCCTGAAACAGCCTCTTGCTGCATCCTAGAGCCCTTCTGTCCAATTTCAGAAACAAGGCTGTCCTGAGCTCCTTGGTTTCACAAGCCTTTAATCCCCACATAAGGCCCAAATCAGTTCTCTGTTTCCCAAAATAACTCTCTGGTTTATTTCTCAAACTAGTTAATATTCTGTTGCCAAAAAAAAATTTAAAAAGAGAACATTCTAACCCCAAATTCCTCACCAGATCTCAGTCTTGGCTCTTCTAAGCCTTGTGTCAAGACACTAATTCCTCAAACTACCTAGCATCCAAGACCACTTCATTTCTGTGGGGTCCAAAGAAGACTATTTCAATCCCTGACACTCATCAGTGTGGCCTCTTGCTAGGGACCAAGTCCAGGCATCACAGCCACAGTAAAACCCATGAGAGCAGGTGGCTTTTTTGCCAATTGCTGCCCAGAAAAAAGGCTTTAAAAGAAGTTGACTCCACTCATCCCAATTATTACCCTTCCTTCTCCAAAGGCAAGGAGCTCACATCAGTTTTTGACATCCTAGAGTTTATTTATAGCTGCCCTGAATGAATGGGGCAATACCAGATGCTGAAATAGTCGGTTTGTTCTGAATGCTTGCAATGATTTTTATCCTGTTTTCCTCCCTAAACGAGGAGAAAACCAATCTCAAATGGTTAGCTGAGACCTGCACCCCCCAGTGACAGGCACTGCTTCAGCAAAGCAGTGCGTACAGCAGAGAGAACAGCTCCAGCTCTGAGGTCAACCACTGGCCCTTCTTGCCCAGTCCAGCCTTGTTTTGCCCCATTGGGGCCATACACAAATGAAACCAATGAATTTTGAAACCTCTCATTTGCAGCATTGTGTTCTCAGCTGGTAAATTGGTGGTGTCCAATGATATTATTCACTGCATCAGAGCCTCTTAGCAGAGCAATTCTTGTAACAACTGAGTCTCACTGTCCTCACCAAGCAAGTGTGCTCGTCTGTGTGATCATGTATAGATTTCAGATATAAAATATGATTGTATATAATTGTAATAAATATGAGGTATCACTATTTAACACCAGGCTATCACTGGATTACTCTGGCTCTTATTTGGGGGAGAAATATGCATGCAGGGTGGGAAAGGGAGGGAAGAGGGATGGACACAGAAATTCAGCCTTATGAATGAGGGACATTTATGGTTGGTTTTCTGAGGGCTCCAAGCCTAGGTGATATCAGCAGGACGCAGTGCAGAGAGTGGGGTAAGTGCAGTGGAAGGTGCACTATAAATAGCTCCAAGAGCCCAGTGGTGCTGTGCTGTCTCCGATGGAGCAGAGGTTGGGATGGATGGATGGATCACCCTGTGAGTGAAATGCAGCTGCTCTGGTGCCTTTGCTCCCAGCAGGAGGCTCTGCAGGGTGTGGAATGCAGCGTCCCACTTCTTCCACCCCAGCAGCAGGAGGTGCTGAAGGGAGTGTGTGAGATATCCCACGGCCCCTTGGGCTTATCTGCCAGGAGGGAATGCTGTGCTGGATCCCATGACTGGTCTAACCCTGCCATGGCAGCCCAGGAGCCACTGAAGGCAATGGTGAGCAGCAAGTAATTTGTAGCTACAAAGTCCCATCGTTGTTCAACAGAAGGATTTGGCTCCCTGCTTAAAAATGAGGGATTTACTTGATTCCTGAGTATTTGGGTGTCTGGTACACAGTGACATTTTCCTGCTCAGGGGGAGCGAAAGGGACCTTCATATTACTGTATTTAGACCTGCTGCTGAATGTGATGATTTCTCATGCCTTAAATGGACGAATATCTTCCCCAGGAGTGAGTGAGTGTGTGTGTGTGTCTCTCTCTCCCTCTCCCTCTCAGGCTCTCTCTCCACTGTTTAACGTTCACAAAGAACGTCACGTTTAGCTAAAACAGGGCAAATTTGAAAGTGTTTAAAAGGAAAGGCTTTGCTGAAGGGATGGCACTGTGCATTTCTCCAAGCCAAGAATCCTTGGGAAAGGAAAACACGGCCGAACGCAGGGATGTGATGAAAAAGTATTGTCCTGCCTGTGTACATTTTATATACATAGAAGGTTTTGAAAATAGAAAGTGCCTGGACAACAGCAGTTGGTGAAATGTGGAAAATATGTTGCTGAGGTATGTGCCTTGCAGAGTGACTTACGAGGTTTACAGTCCAAGATCCCTGTGGGTTCGTTTTCTCCCCTTTTCCTCCATGTTGCCAGTGTCCAATTCATTTACCTCAAGATTCCTGGTGCAGGGTAACAGGCAGTTTTCTTGAACTGCCCTTTTCCACCCCTTAGTTTTTCCTTCTCACCTTTACCAATTCTATAGATCACAGTTTTTCCTTCCTCCAAACTGATGAATCCCAGAAAACTCCCATCAAGGCCATTGTTGCTCAACAAAATCTAACTCTGGGCCTTTGGCTGCTGAGGGTGTTTGTGTGTTTTGTTGAGGAGATCCAACCCACCAGCAGAGAACTTGGAAGAAGCCAGACCTTCTAACCAGCAGGTACTGTCCTGAGTCACGAGTTTTATTCCTGGCTCATGTTCCTTCTCTTTCCAGCACAACAACAGTTGTAGGGAGTGGATTCTGGTCCTAATGAGCTGTGTAGCCTGACTGCTAACTTGTAATTTTTTTCTTCTTTTTTTTGTTAGAAATAAATTTCCTAGCTCAGCTGCCCTGAGAAGTGTGTACCCCCTGCCCAGCTGGCACTGAGAGTGGCATCCTGTTAGCTGAAAGGTGACCAGGTAGTGAACCTTTTCTCTGCAGAACAAGAGAGCAGCAGCAGTTCCCCCCACACACACCTGGCTTATTCAAGTACTCTGTTTTACTGTGTGCTCTATTTTTACTGTAGTTTGCACAGGAAGGAGAATAACACCCCAGAGACTGAGCTCAGTGGATTTCTAACATGGTTTCGATAGGTTCTTGAGAGCATATAGAAAGCAGAAGGGAACTTCCTCTGAACAGTGTCATCTGAGCACATCTCAGAGAATCCCTGTGAGCCTCTGCTCTCTCCTAGAGGAAACATTATCAGGCTGGTGCTTCCCAGTAATCTGAGAATATAAAAGCTCCTTTGCAATAGCTGCAGGAGAAATATGGGCAACACAAACACTGACCAAGGGGGAAAGGGTTAAGAGAGATACCTCCTGATCAGCTTTGTCCAGCCTTCCTCACCCCCAGATGTGGTAAATTAGTCCTATCTTTGTCAAAAGCAGGAAGGATTTTATGGTCTTTTGCGTGTTGGGGTGTAACAAACAGTGTTTGGGATCAGAAAGAGGATGGACTGTAGGATCCTTTGTGATCTTCCTGCTTTGCAAAGTATTTTACTTGTAAGTGTACCTCAAATTTCACACGTGGTGGTAAAAAGTACTGCCTGGTAAACACAGAGCTGTGTCACACACAAGTTGCTGAGAGAGCCAGTTTTGGGAACCAGGTGTTGGGTTAGGTCCTGCAGCTTGCACAGCCCCCAACCCCCATCAGCCCTGTGCCCCACAGCTGACACAGCTGTGGCCAATGCCCCTGATGGCCTGTGCTGCACAGGTGTGAGTGAGTTGCTGCCCAGCAGCCTCCCTGGAGACACTCCCTCTCTCTCTGCCCTTTGTTTGCTGCAACTTGGCTTCTTCTGGCAAGTAAGTGTTTTTTTTTTATAACTATCTATCTTCTTCTCTTTTGGTTTTTGTCCTCAATGAAGTGGGGGAACTGGTTGCATTTTCAGTACCTGCCTCACCCTGGTCTGAGGTTTGTTAGAAGGGTTGCCAGAAGGTCCAGCCTGGTGTGTGCTGGTGGAAGGAAGCATGGTGTGTGTTGGGCTGGGGTGGGAGGCTGTGGAAAAAACCAAGTCTGTGTCTGCTCCATTTTTGTATTTACAGTGCTGCTGCAGAAATGGAGCTGCCTTGCTTTCCTGTGCTGGGGCATTGTCATGCTTGGGGAAAACAAAGGCTCAGGCAGCAGGTCCAGAGTAGCTTTTTGTTGCAAACCTGTTGTATTAAAGTCAAGGTCTCCATGCTCGACTAGACCCTCCACACCCAGCAGGTTGTGGAGCACAGAAGTGTCTGCCAAGGGCTTTGTCACAGGAAGCTTTGGAAGCTGCTTGCTGTGTGGTGGGGCTTTATGTTAAGCACAAATTGCATGTGGTAGTGACTCTGCACACCAGAAATGGATGCTGAGCCTGAGCTGTGACTCTCCCAGCCTAGTCTGGATCCCTCATACCATTGGGTGCTATGCAGGTGCAAAGCAAGAGAGGCACTTGGCCCCTAGGGATTGGAAACATAAATAAAGGGATGCTGAGAGGTGAAACAGGAAATTATTTACGTAAAGGCACAGGAGTGAACTTAAAACTTCCTTCATGTTCCCTTTTAAACATAAATAAAGGGATGCTGAGAGGTGAAACAGGAAATTATTTACCTAAAGGCACAGGAGAGAGCTTAAAACTTCCTTCATGTTCCCTTTTACTGTCTTATCCCCAGACTGTGCTGCTTCATCAGGAGTTAGCCTTGGTAAGGCACCTTTGGAGCTGTGTCCACATTAGGCTGGTTCTTACCACTCTTAAAAATAAAATAATGTCATGGGGATGTCCCTAAGGTGAATTTTAGGGTATCAGGGAAGACAGAGGGCAAGGCACCTCCTCTCCTTGCTGTGCAGTGCAAGCTCTGAGCTGCACACTCGTAGATTGAGGGGCTGGCATGGTCTCTCCCAGCTCAGGGAAAAAAACAATCCCATCCCCAAAAGGGAGCAAGCACTAGCCTAATAAAGGCACCAGCTGGACGGAGGGAAAACCAGCTCTTTGGAAAAAAAAAAAAAACAAACCTCCTTTCATTAGAAAAATAATATATTTCATCCAAATAAGGTAAAAATATTTGAAATGGGGCAGAAGTGAGCACTAGGCAGCATCTGTCAGGCCCTTTCTGAAAAGGGGAAGATTATTAAAACTCATTTACAATTTATTTTTGTAAAGTGTCTTTCAGGCTAAAAATCTCCCCAAATGCTTTGCAGGGACTGCTCAGGGGTTAGTACAGTATGGAGCATCCCAGAAAGAAGACCCTGTTTTCCCACCAAGCCCTCCTTTCTCCATCTGCTGAAGGGTTTCTTCCTTCAGGATTTCATTTTTTTCTTCTATATTTGCACAAATGATGAGAGATGGTTTATGATGTTGACTGCAAGAGCAGCCTCAAG